TTATTAATAAGTAATTTCTTTTACTTTTTGGAGGGAGCCCTACCAAGCAGTGCTCAGGAGTATTGGGGGGGCCACTCCCAGCGCTTCTCAGCCAATTGGTCTGTTGGGTCAAGGCCAGGACCCAACAGTTTGGCCCTGTGAGGACCCTGCAGTGCTGGGGATTATCTGGACCACCCCAACAGAGCTTGGGGTCTCCAGGGCCACACCAGCAATGCTCTGGGGACCATGTGGTACTGAGGATGGAACCAGGGTCCAGAGCATGGAACCAGGCATGCACCCCAGCCTCCATACATCTCCAGTCTAGCTGTCCCATTTATTAAGGGCGACTGATCTGTCCACTGTCCTGACCCAGCCACTGCAGAGATGCCAGGGCAAGCTGGTGTCCCTCCCTGGAATGTCCCAGGGCCTCTGTCCTGTTTCGCTCAGCAGTGACTAAATTCTACCCGAAAAGGCCGCTCTGGGCAGGAGGCCCCAGGCTCCACCTGTTCCTGAGAATGATTTCTGTTCATAGTCCTGGTTGGGCTGTGAAATCAGCATCCCGCTCCAAAATTGGGGAGTCCCACCTGAGACGCTCCCAGCCAAGACAGATGTTCTGTCCAAAAGGAAAGTATCAGCTTGAAGGCCCGAGTCCAGGAGGTCACCTGTCTTGCCCATGGCCGGCTCTGGTTCAATCCCTGACACCCCAGATGGTCCTCCGAGCGCCGGCAGGAGTTAGGCTTGAACAAAGAGCCAAGAGTTAATAAACTCTGCACTCCACTGGATGTGCCCCAACCCCAACCAGTAAAGATTAATTCTAGTGCATATCTGAGTCTCCGCAGACAGAATCAAGTGCCCTGTTAGTCCCCTGGTGAGGGCAGCAGAGAAACGCTCCATTTGGTTTGGTGGCCACACCTGGCAGTGCTCGGGGTTTACTCCTGCTCCGTGCTCAGAGATGACCCACCCAATGGACATTGCTGAGGGGAGAGTCACCCCTGAACCCTTGGGTCGTCAGGGCAGCAGACGAGCACTTTCCCCAGGATTCTCGACTCCTAATGGTGCTGGAACAGACGCAGTGCCAGGGATCAGATCAGTACTGGACACGTGCGAGGCAAGTGCCTTCCCTTCTGTGCTGTCTCCCTGGCTGGAGATGCCTCCATTTGCCTTGTAATTTTTCTCTTTTCCTTAAATTTTTATTAGAAGGCTATGACTTTCCAAGTTTTTCATAATACAGTTGTTTCGGGCATTCAGTGTTCCAACACCAATCCCTCACCAATATCCCCAGCTTCCCTCCTACCCCCCCAAGCCTTGCATCCTTAGCAGGTAAAAAAAATTTTACTTCATACCGCTTGTTACAACACAAAGGCAAATAGAATCATCAAAAAGTAGATCAATAAAAGTCAATTTATGAGCCTGTGGCCACAACATCTCATACTCTACACCACTGACATACCAGGAGTAGCACACCACATCGGGTGGGATGTTGAGTAGAACAGCAGCTGATCTCGATAAAGACAATATTAACATACAGGGTTTAACCTGTAACAACACGTTAGAAATCTTTTATACACGGGATTAACAACAATCTTCACACACTTTCTTTTTAGGAAATCTTTTTTGATAATTTTTAGCAAATTAATCATAACGAGCAATACAAAATAAATCATTTCGGGACTGCGATTGGGGCAGGCTTGGGTGGTGGTTGGAAACACTGGAAATAATGGTGATGGGAAGGTGTAATGGTGGTGGGATTGGTGTTGAAATATTGAATGTAATAAATCACTGTGAGCAACTTTATAAAAATAAAATAAAAACTTTTTTAAAAATATGACTTAATTCATGGGGCTGGAGTGATAGCACAGCAGGTAGGGTGTTTGCCTTGCATGTGGCCGACCGGGTTCGATTCCCAGCATCCCATATGGTCCCCTGAGCACTGCCAGGAGTAATTCCTGAGTGCAAAGCCAGGAGTAACCCCTGAGCATCACCGGGTGTGACCCAAAAATAAAAAAAAAAAGCCAATTCATGATAATAGTTCCGTCTCATAATCGTGTTTACTAACTTCATTGTGTGAGGATCTGCTGGGCTGGTTTGTGCCCACTGAGCCTTCTATGTTACTGCTAAGGCTCACTGAGCTTAGAGATCTTCTGTGCAACTTCCCCGGCAGATTTGCGGTGACCCTTTTGGGCTGATAGTATTAGGAAATCAGGAACCCGCCTATGTGGCGGCGCAGTCCAGGAGCTATGGAGCTGGAATGGTTTGCTGGCTCGGCAGTTGACGAGGTTGGGTGGTTGGAGCTGGGCTGTTTCTACATCAGAGGGTGTCAGGTGTGGCTGTAGGCTGCTTTGCTTCAGGCAGAAAGGGGTATCTGCTCGCCCCCATCCTGGGAAGGGCCCAGAGTTGTTAGCCCGGGGCCTGTCTACCCGGGGAGAGTGAGTGGCAACACGTTCTTTTTGAGATTAGTTCATAGACTCTCAGTCTCTGTGTCTCTCTCTCTCTGCAGAACTCCCTCCTGTCAAGGAGGCATTCCTCAACTTTCTCTTCACTTTCTCGGCTCTAACATTCATCCTCTTCACGCCCACACCCTGAGAAGCCCCGAGGAGATGGCAGTGAGCAGGACCATGGCTCCCGATCTCAGTGAGTGACAAGCCAACAGTTTGGAGACAAACCCTGAGTCTGAAAGAGAGGCAGGATTTTATGAGTTGGAGATGGGGCATCAGGGGAAGCCTGTCAGGAGAAAGAGCTGCTTGAGCCGAGATAAGTAGACACGTGGAGGGGAGGGGAGAGGAGGAGGAAACTGAGGAATGGAACCGAGCATGTGACATGGCCATGCACGGAACATTTGAACACTTTTGCTTGCATTTCCAATGCTTCGCCCCACTCTTGGTATATAGTAAGTGCTTCCTAGGTGCTCGTGGGATCAATCTGAGTTCTGCCACGTTTCAGACTGTCCTTTGGCATGAGGGGTCATGGATGCGTCCTTTTCCTTTGCCAAGGAAGGAAGATGCCTTCGTGGTGGAATGAGAAAGCCGATGGTTGGACAAATTGCTAAATTGGAACGGTGGGTGGGATTGAAAAATTGATTTACATGAATTTTCCTGCCGGCAGCGAGTTGAAAATTTATTCTGTTCAGATTTTGGCTTCCAAACCAAGCTGTTCCTTCTTCTGAATTTCTTGGCCTGCTGTGAGACTAGCATTTAGTGTCTTACAACATACACTGATTAGGTCATGGAAATTCACAGCTCAATCGAACCAGTATATGGAAAATTTGAAACTTTCACTGACCAATTCCCCTTATGGTACTGGGATGTGTTATGAAACACCGGGTTCTACATCATTTTTCTCAAAAGCACTATTATTGAAGGATCACTTATTGAACACTTACTCTGTACACGAGTAAGTTGAGCCGTACAATGACTGCCAACTCTTCATATGGCTCAGCTTAATATTTACATCCAGACTCTCAGTTGAGAGGCTAGAGGCTCTGAGAGGGCCAAAGCCTGTCTCCGACGGCACAGGATTTGCTTCTCAAGAAGGCTGGAGAGATAGTACAGGAGGTTAGTCACTTGCTTTGCAAGTGGCCCGTCCAGTTGAATCCCTGTACTCCGATTTCCCACAACTCACAAGGGCCACCAGGGGCAGGAATAGCCCCTGAGTACCAAGGGCTGTGCCAGGCTCTTCCCACCCTCCTTCCCCCAAGGACGCTGGCAGAGTTGCAGCTTCTAAGTGGCAGTGTCTCCTTTCCTCCCGTTCCTTCACCCCACACCTCTGCCTCTCTCCATCCAGGATCATTTTTCCACACGGTATTGATTACGGGGTGATCACAGTCACTTTCCTTTGCTAGACTGAGATCCTTCGGGATGCGGTTCTCTCTCTCTCTCTCTCTCTCTCTCTCTCTCTCTCTCTCTCTCTCTCTCTCTCCTTTCTGTTCTCTTCAGAGCCCACAGTGTTGTTCACTGGAACTGACCTCAGCAGAATATTCGTCAAAACCAAACCAAACCTACTTGTTCCTGGACCGTGTCAGGCCTCTGATGGCTGCACGGCAGCTTCTGCCTCTGGGAGCTGGTCTGAGGAGGGCGGCACGACGACGACCGTTCCTCTGGACACACGGGGAGTTTCTCCACCTGCCACGATGCTCTGACCTTCCCCACTCGCTTCACGGGTTTGCAGGAAGGGGAAAAACACTCAAGACTCTCGCCCCTTCGTTTTCCTCCCCACAGCAGGCCCCCGAACTCACATACTTACATTTTTCTTATTTCTTCTGCATAGTTTCTCCAGCCCAGGAAAAACTCACGTGTGACCTGGCCCTTGAGAACGGACGCACCAAAAGTCTCAACCTTGCACTAAGCGGCCAGTATGCGGGCGGGGGTGGGGTTCTGCTTTTCCCGGCCCCGAAGAACCCGCACCCCCTGGGGTCTGTGACCCCCAGACCGAATTGCTCATCGCGGGGGCGGTCTGCAACCCCTAGACCGAACTGCTCATTCCCCGCGGCCGCTCCTGCGCCTTGACAGTCTCTGGGCCGCGCTCCCGCCTTGCTGCTGCGGCGCGGGGGGACCCACCTGAGCCGTGACCACCCCGGCTGGCCTCGTCGGCACAGGAAGGACAGGAAGGGGCTTTTCCTCCGTGCGGGCGGCCGGATGGGGGCGGATGGCCCCGTCCAGACGCCCCCGAGGCCGGCGGAAGGCAGCGGGGCAGGGCGGGTCTACTGCATTTAGGCCTCAAGCCCGCGGCCCTCCGGGGTCGGCCGGCGAGGGGGGCGCCGGGGCCACGGCGGGACCCCCGTGCGCGCGGGCCGGTCCCGGGCGCCGCTGCCCGACCCCGGCGGGCGCCCCCGGCCCGCGCCGCCCCTTTCCCTCCGCCGGAGCCCGGGGGCGGGGTTTGTTTACTCCTGGCACGCACCGCCGCGCGGGCCAATGGGCGGCGGGCGGCGCCTGACGTCACGGCGCGGCGGGCCAATGGGCGCGGCCCGTGCTGCTCCGCCGCCCCAGCGGGTGCCGCCGGCCGGGCGGGGGCGGGCCGTGCGCGGCTCGGAGCGGGCGCCGCGCGGCGCGGCTGGCGGGGCGCGCCCTGACCCTGCCTCCTGGGGGAGGCTCCTGGCGCGCGCGTCGGCGGCCTGGGGCCTGCAGCCGAGCTCCGGGGCCTCCTCGCGCCGCCGGCCCGACGGGGACCCAGCGCCCCGGGATCGGCCCGAAGAACAGCCCGGCGGGGCCGCCGCGTCCTCTGCAGCCGAGCGGCGGTAAGGGCCGGGGCGCGGCGCCCCTCCGCGCGCCTGGGCCGGGGCCCCCGGGCGCTCCCGCTCCATCTGCTCGTTCCCACGCGCCCTCCCGGGCCGGGCCGAGTGACCCCCGCGTGCCTGGAGGCGAGCGGGCGCGGGCGAGCCCCCCGGCTTCGGCCCCGGGGAGGGGAGGGGGGTGGCCGGCGCGTCCCTGAGTCATGCCTCGTGCCGAGGGGGAGGGCGGCCGGGGACTTCCCCGGGCCGTGCAGGGGCGCGGGAGGGCCCCGGGGGCTGCTTGCCCCCCCTCCCCGCCCCCCGCCCCGACTTTTCCTGTTTGCACGGCCGACACTCCGCCCTCGCCCTCCACCTCCCAGGTGGAGCCCGAGTTCCAAAACTTGGCGCCCCGGGAGCCACCCCCGCTGCTCTGCGGGAGGGAACTTTGACCCAGTGGCTGCCGGGGTGGGGAGTGGGGGCTTGGACCCTCTTGGAGAAATTGCGAAAGCCCAGATCCCCCAGCACCGCCCTCCCCACCCCCGCCACCCCCTCCGCTCCCCACCCGCAGTCCCTGCTCCGGGAAGACCAGAAAGGATTTTTCTGGGGTCTTGTCGGGAAGCCACGCGGTCCCTCTTGGTGCCCGCTCGCGGGGCATCGCGGGGCATCGCGGGGGCTCAGCGTGGCCCTTTGTGCAAGTGCAGGCGGGGCAGCGCGAGGACGCGCAGGGCTGACCTGCGCCGCGCGCGGGGACAAAGCTCAGCCCGGAGGGAGCCCGCGAGCGCGGCGGGCCGCGTGCTGAGTGTCGCGAGCGCCGGCTGGTGCCTGGCCCGCTGCAACATTGTTTCCCTTTGGCCGGCTAGCTCCCCGCCCGCGCGCGTGCCGGCGCGCCTCCGTGCAGAGCCCTGCCCGGGTCTCCGAGGGCGCAGACCCTCTGCGCCCCCCTCTCTCGGGCTCTTTCAGACTGTTTTCCTTTCTCCCGCATTTCGGTGGTTTTTTCTTTTTGGTTGTTTTGTTTTGTTGTTGTTTTTTTTTCTTCTTTCTTTTGTCGCCTCTTTCCCTGCCCACCCCACTCTTCTCATCTCTCTCTCTTCGTATTGCGGATGGGGGCACACCTGGAGCGCAGGTACAGCTCCTGGCTCTGCTCACTACGGACCCCTGGCGGTGATGGGGGGAACTACTGCGGTGCCGGGGTTGAACCTGGGCCCCCGCATGCAAACCCCAGGGGGCCGACCCTCCAGGCCCTCACTTATTTTCTTGAAGTTCCTTTTATTGGATCACCATGAGATGCACCATTGCAAAGCTGTTCAAGATCGGGTTTCAGTCGCGCAGTGTTCCTGCCACCTTTCCCTCCACCAGCGTACATTTCCCACCCAGTTTCCCTCCCGCCCCCCCTCCACCCTGCCTTAGAGGCAGGCACCTTTCTTCTTTCTCTCTCCCTTTGGGCGTGATGGTTTGCAATACAGGCACAGAGAGGTCATCGTGTTGTGTTCCTTTACAGGACTTTCAGCACTCAGATCTTGTCCAGTGATCATTTCTAACTGTCACTGACCTTATGATCCCTTCTCTCTCCCAACTGCCTTCTCCCCAGCGCTTGGGGCAGGCTTCCAACCATGGACCAATAAATTGTTGTATCTTATGGAGACATTGAGTCCTTGTAAGGCGTTGTGATAGGTTCAGCTTCCTGTGTTTGTTTTGTTAACTGGGATTGGTCCCTTCTCCAATTTGGTGTGTTACTACTGGTTTATCAGTGTTTTAGAGTTTGAGATGTTAGGAAGTTAAGTCTTTTATCGAAAGTTCAGTATTTTTATCAGGAAGGTACTGCTGGAGTTGATGTTTTGTCTGGGTGGCAGCTTTGGAGTGTGGATGTCCAAAAGCTGCTGGGGCTTCTGAAGGTAGCCCATCCCAACCCCGAAAAAGCCTGGAGATTTCAGTCACAAATCCTGCATACCTGAGTTTGCATCCATTTAATTTCTCCATGGGGTCCATCCCGAGAAGATGGAGTCTTGCCCTTGCCGTGGCAGCAATTTCGGACTGTGGGAGTGAGTGGCTGTGGGGGGCTCTGTTTGGGCAGGCACTGCTCAGCCCTCATTTCTTTTCTCGTAATGACCTACACGAGTACTTCTGAAGTTGTTGGCTTTTATAACGAACAAGCTTTGTCTCTGTTCAGGGTGAAGTATGAACTAATGCAGTCCCTCTGATATTTTATCCTGTTTTTCCATGTCCTCAGTTTAGGCTCTGATTTGGCAAAAATGTGATCACTCTTGGTAATAAGTCTTTCCTGTCTGTGTCCCCACCGCCGCTGCCGTGGCACCAGGAGAAATCAGCTGCCTGAGTCCCGGATTCCGTGGGCTTGTGTGTTTGCTGTGTCTGAGAACATCTTGTGCCTGGAACCGGAGTCGCGTCCCAGGGCAGCCGCGGTGCCCGTGGTGAGCTCTGCCAGAGGCCTCGCTTCAGCAGTGTGACACTTCTGGGTGTGAGCGAAGGCCCATGCCGGAGTCAGCTTGTGCTTTTCGGTTCTCTGAGTGGTTTCGTAGAGAAAAGGGACCTTTTCCAGTGTGTCCTATTACTGCTTTGTGATGGTGTAACTCCTTCCCTCCCCGTCGCCTCCCACCGTGTCTCAGTGTGAGTCCAGCTGGCACCACCAGCGTCAGCCTCGCAGCCAGAACACGTAACTGTCTGATTGCGTGCTCCCAGGCACAGCTTGACTGGGAGGTCCAGAGGTTCATCCTGCCCGCGCGAAGCATTTGTCTGTGGATGACAGTGCAAACATGGGGGCCCGAGAGCTCGGAGAGCAGCTGGTAGGGCACTCGCCTTGCCTGAGGCTGATGGGCTTTGATCCCTGGCCTGGCATAGGGTCCCCTGAGGACCTCCAGGAGTGACCCCCGAGTGCAGTCAGGAACAAACCCTGAGCACCGCCTGGTGAGGCCCAGAAAAAAAAAAAGAAGAGGAGGAAAGAAGGAAACTGCTCCACCGACATGGGGTTCAAGTTTACTCTTTGGGGTTCTGGGGCCACTGGAGCCCTTCCCCACGAGTCTACCACTTGAGCCCATCTCTCGACCGCAACTTTTGCTTTTCATAGTTAAAAGAGTTGAATTGTGAATCTACTTTGCCCTCACCACCCAAAGTAAGAATTTTGACCGGAAGAATGACTTTGTGTTCCTACGTCTGTTTTATATTTAAGGGCTTGAGTTATGTTTCTTGGCATGGTTATTTATATGAACTTCACCATCTTTTGATGTCTCTGGGGTGTAGGGCCGGGATGGAACCCAGCGCCCCCCCCCAACACACATACACACGGAGGCACCTGATATGTTGGGCCCCATCGCCAACCCACACTTTGCCACCTCTGAACCCCCCTGAGGTGTGTGAAAGTCTCAGAACAGAGTGAAGACGAGGGTCAGAGCAAGTCAGTGTCGGCATGAAGGCGAAGGCATTGAGTCTGAGTGTCTGAGGATCCAGTTTCGGGTCAGAGGTTGCTGAGTTCGGGCCTGTCCTTTCTCACCGTTAGAGCGGGTGTAAAGGGGTGATGGAAGAGCCCGTTTGGCAAGTCGGCTGGGTGGCATCGAGACATCGGGCCTGGTCTTGACAGAGACTCTCCACACTTGGTCCCCGGGCCTCTAAGCACGGCCACCCCCCAGCCCCCTGCAAAATAAAACGCAAATCAGACAGATTGTTTTTTTATTTGAACATTTAATATTGACCAGTATCTCAGCATCTTCTTTTCCTCTTTAAAATGCATTTATGGGGGCTGGAGTGATAGCACAGCGGGTAGGGCTTTTGCCTTGCACACAGCCAACCCGGGTTCGATTCCCAGCATCCCATATGGTTCCCTGAGCACCACCAGGAGTAATTCCTGAGTGCAGAGCCAGGAGTAACCCCTGTGCATCGCCGGGTCTGACCCAAAAAGCAATAAATAAATAAATAAAATGCATTTATGTTTAAGTTTATGCATTTAGGATTAAAATGGGTGCTTTTTTTTGTTTGTTTGCTCGCTCATAGGAGTTTTCATTGCAATGAGTATTAAATAGATTCACCTCATTCTTTTTCTTTTTAAATTTTTGTTAGTGAAACACCATGAGGTACGGTTGTGGACTTACAAGTTTTTGTGCTTGGGTTTCAATTACACAATGATCGAGCACCCATCCCTCCACAAGTCCCCATTCTCCACCACCAATGAACCCAGTATCCCTCCCACCACCCCCACCCCCCACCTCATCCCCCCATCCCATCTCTGAGGTAGGGCATTCCCTTTTGTTCTCTCTCTCCTTTTGGGTGTTGTGGTTTGCAAAAGAGGAATTGAGTTGGCCACCGTGTTCGGTCTGTAGTCCGCTTTCAGCATGCATCTCGCAACCCAAGTGGATCCTCCAAACACCCGATTCACTTCATTCTTGAATCTTCGCCCTTTTGGTCTGGGATACGGGACTTAAGGATGAGGCGTGTCCTTCCAGCATCTGCTTGTGAAACCTTGGGCATTCCGTGCGCGTTCCATGCATCTGTGTATTTCTGGAGGGAAGATTCTTGGTTTCACAGTTTCAGAAGCAAAGCTGTTGGGACAATCCCAATAAAATTATTTCTGCTCAACTTGCATTGAAGTTGTTTCTTCTTTGCGTCAAGGTGTGTTTCTTCTCTCTGTTCTGGGGTTTTCAAATATTTGAAATTCTCATGAGGTTCCTCTTGATTAATTTCTTCTCGCGATGATTTTTTTTTCTTTTTCGGTCACACCTGGCCATGTTCAGGGGTTATTCCTGGCTCAGGCGATGCTCGGGGGACCATATGGGATTCTGGAAATCGAACCCGGATAGCCATGTGCAAGGCAAACACCCTACCCACTGTACTATCGCTCCAGCTCCTCTCAGTGATTTTCTTCTCCATCTTAAAGCTTTGCAGGTGCATTTGCTGTTGTGATTTGGTGTCTCCTGCCTCTGCTGATGACTTGACTTACGGTTTGTTTCTCTTCATCCAAATTCTTCATTGAGTTGTGGAGCCGTTAGATGTTAACTAGAGATAACACTGAGAGTCACTTCTTT